GGAAAGGAGAAAAGCCTTCCTGCCCAGAACCAGTCACCCAGGCTTCAATTCCTGAATAGAAGCGTCCGCGACTCCAGGGGTCACCAGCAGATAACAACCTGGGGCCCCGCGGGATGCTTTTACTTCTGCTGTCGGAGCGGGGAGGCCAGCGCCTGTAGCCGAGTCCTGCCCGCTGGTTTCAATGCACAGACCTCGATGGACTCCTCCACTTGGTTCTGCCTTAAGCAAACTATAGACCCTCATCTCTAGAATGAGCACAGTACTTGCTTTACAGAGATCTTGGGGAGAGCTGAGGAAGGTGGTGCATGTATAGGTTGAATCTGCTCTTGTGTGTGCCAAACTGTGGGCATTTCCGACCCTCGCGGTAATAACTCACTGAGATCCGGATCCTGATCCCATTCTCTGGAGGAGGAAACTGGCTCAGAGAAAGCGCTTCCTCCAAGTCCCATCGCGAGGAACGTACCCACCCCAGTCGGCCAGGCTCAGACTTCTGCTCTGATGTGCCTCCCGGGTGTGACCATTTTTCTGACGACAAAGGCATTGCTTTCACTTAGCCTCTAGTATAGAGGTAGTGTCATTGTAGGAGAAATAACCACGTTTAGGTAAGGCCTTTGGGACTGGCCTATTTTAAAGGAGAATATACGATTATCTGTGTAACCTGTTCACAGAGAGCTGCCGTGTAAACATCTCGTTTTGTCTTGGCAACAACTCATGGTGATCAGGACGGAGCTCATCCCTGTTTTGCCAGCGATAGATCTGAGCTGGGTTAGCTAACCTGCTCAAGGCACCCAGCTGCTGCAGGGGCTACAGAATGTGGCTTTTGCACTAGTTGTGCCGCGTTCCAAGTTTCTCCTTGTTCCCGGGGTAGTGTCTCTTGTATCCGGACACCTCTCTTTCTCTTTCGGTGCTCCTGTAGCTGAGTGGTGGGGTAACTAGGAAGCTGTGCACTTCCTGCTTCATCGTGGCGGCTGCTGTTTTATATATACATATAAAGATACATATTCACTGATACTCTCTGACTCTCTTCACAGCTCTGAAGAGGCTGAGGGACTCGGCCAATGCCAACGATGTGGAAACAGGTGAGTGTGCAAAGCGGATCCAGCTCTGTGGGCTCCTTGGGGAAGAAAAACCTGGGGAGACGGTGCTTGAATCCATTCAGTCTGACAGCTCACCCTGTGGAGCCTGCTCACTGTAGTTATTGTAAAGCTGCAGTCATTTGGCAGAAGGTGTGTCTGCGTAGGTGCTCACTCTTCCCATGCTTCCCCGTCACCATGAACTTCCTGATGTCTGAGTGCTTTACCGCCCTGGGGGCTCCTTGATGGTGGGGACACATCTGCTTTTGTATCCCTGACACCCAGCAGGTTAGGAACTTTGGGGAATGAACAGTCTGTTTTAGCTGCCAGGAGAGCCACCATCTGCACAGAGCAACCACCTTCCACTGCGCGCTGAAGCTTTGTGGTAGTTGGGTCAGTGGTTCTCAAACTTGATTTTTGGCAGAAGGTCTGGAAGGCATGGGAGGGGCTCCTAGCAGGACACTACTCTGGTTGTCTTGTCATTGCTCTCTAGACTTCACCAGCTGATAGGGCAGTAGCAATATGGAAGGTTCAAGGGCAAGTTAGAGGAAAAAAGTTAATTTTATCCACTAATTCTTTGTGTGAATCAGGGGAAAGTGGTCCCTTCGTTCCTACAGCTGCTGTAACAAATTACCGCAAACATAGTGGTGTATAAATCAACACAAATGTGTTATCATACAGTTCCGTGGGCCAGAGTCCAACACAGGTCTCACGGGCTGAAACCAGGGTGTCTGCAGGGCTGTGTTTCCTCCTGGGGGCTCTGGGTGAGAATCTGTTTCCCTGCCTTTTCCAGCTTCAGGATTCAGCAGAAGCGGGCTGAGTCCTCGCACTGCCGTCTCTATGGATCTCACAGCAGGGAAAGGTTCTCTGATTTCAAGGACTCAGGATAAAATTGGGCCTGAATAATCCAGGATAATGTTCCTAGCTCAAGGTCCCTAACCTTAATCACCTCTGCAAAGTCCCTTTTTGGTGTGTAAAGTAACATATCCATACATTCCGGGGACTGGGGCGTGGCATATTTGGGAGCGGATCCTTGCCTGCCTGGTGTGGACATCATTTGTTTTGGTGGTGGGATACCGTGGCCAACAGATGGAATGTGAGCATAGATCAAGGGCCAAGGGCAGGAAAGCCCGTGTCCAGCAGGCGCGGAGAGGAGGTCGTTGACCTCGGGAGCTGTGGTGCGGCCTGGACATGGTGCCCTTGTTGCTGGCATGGCATAGTGAGCAGGCCTGGAAACCGGAGCGCTTTTCACAGCTCTTCACTTTGGTCTCTTTTCCACAAACTTGAATATTTTGGAATATTTGGGCAATAACCTGGATAGCTTTTCAAGGAAAAATGACAAGAGTTCTCTTTTTAATATCTCTAGTGTGTGACCAGAGAATATTTTAATTATGCTTCCCTCCCACAGAAAGTCTAGTTCATCTTTTTTTTTTTCAAACTATAAGAGAAAGCTTATTTAGAAAGTCACAAAGGTAGAGAAAGTGAGTGGTAGAAGAAATGGGCTCAGGAAACAAGTTACAGAGGCAACAGAAGGGGCCCTTGGAGCTTAGGAGAGAGAAGGGTGAAGGAAACACGCCTGGGGGAGGGTGTGCTCCTGGGAGGGAGAGCGCACCAAGTCTGGTTCACCTTGAATCAGGTGTTCATGTGGTGGTTTTATTATTGTGATAGAAAGGATGCAATTGTCTATTCAGAGCCTCTGACACACCCATCTTCACAGCTAAATGGCTCTCAGGTTTACCAGGCTCTAGCAGGACTCTGATGGTGAAACTGGCTGTAGGATTAGCATTTTTCTTTCTTTCTCTGCATATTTATTATTGTGGGGTTTTTTTTGTATAGCTTAGCAATTACAGTGGGCACAAAATTTATCCCTGGCTATTGTTAAATCATAAGTGCTTTTCTGTGAGTTCATAATCATTTAAAATATTTTAAATATGGAAATAATATATGCATTTAAAATGTTTTGGAAATTAGAGAACTATACAAGCAAAACATCCATAATGTTAGGAGAGGAACTAATTTCTATTCATGTTTTGGTGACCATCCTTCCGGTTCTTCCTACACAGAGGAATTTTCTTCATGGGCTTGCACACTGTGCTGTATACACAATTTTGTAGCCTGCACAATTTTTGTATATCATAAACATTTTTCATAGTCCTTGTAACCATTTGTTTTTCAAAATGGAAGCATCATTTATTCCTATTTATAAAATGAATGTATGACTAAGTGATATTTCTAAAGCTTATAAAGAGCAAAAAACATTTTATAATTCCATTCCCCAGTCATAATCACAATATTTAATGGATGCACACTATGCCTTTAAAGGGGCAAAAACACCTTAACCAGTTTGGCTCAGGGATAGAGTGTCATCCTGCAGACTGAAGTGTCCCGCATTCAATTTGGGTCAAGGCCATGCACCTCGGTTGCAAGCTCGATCCTCGGCCCATGTATTCCCCAGTCATAATCACAATATTTAATGGATGCACACTATGCCTTTAAAGGGGCAAAAACACCTTAACCAGTTTGGCTCAGGGATAGAGTGTCATCCTGCAGACTGAAGGGTCCCGCATTCAATTCGGGTCAAGGCCATGTACCTCGGTTGCAAGCTCGATCCTCGGCCCATGTTGGGGCACGTGCAGGAGGAACTGATAGATGTGTCGCTCCATATCAATGTTTCTCTCTCTCTCCCCCTCCCTTTCACTCTCTCTAAAAATCAATGGAAAAATATCCTCGGTCTGGCCAGGCATAGCTCAGTGGTTGAGTGTGGACCCAAGAACAGGAGGTCATGGTTCCATTCCTGGTCAGGGCACATGCCCCCGTTGCAGGCTCAATCCCCAGTAGGGGGCATGCAGGAGGCAGCCGATCAATGATTCTCTCTCATCATTGATGTTTCAATCTCTCTCCCTCTCCTTTCCTCTCTGAAATCAATAAAAAAATATTTTTAAAAAATCCTTCGTTGAGGATTAACAAAAGAAAGGAGGGCAAAAAAAGTGTTATTTCATCATATATTTGCACGTTGGTATTTCATTTCTAAGATAATTTCCCAGGTATGGGATTATTACATCAAAGAGTAATAATTTTGAGCCTCTGCCTGTTTTGATGGCTACTGATAGATGTTGCTAAAATGCTTTCCGAAGACTATAACTGCATAAATCACAAAATAGACTGGATACTTTAGCTTTCTGTCTCTGTGATACTGGCTGTCTTTTGGTGATTGCACTGATGAACACTAAGATAGCCTGAAGCTCTTATTTCTCCTCCACTCTCCCAACCTTTTCCTTCGTTCATTTATTCACTCAGCCAGCAACATTCATTGAACAGGTAAGTAATGTTAAGGTATTAAGATAAACAAAATAAAACCCCTACAACATAGTTGGAGCAGAAGAATATTAAAGCAATACCATTTCTAAGATAAAAGTCCCCAAAAAACCGAAGTTAGGTATTCAGCTGGGGAGGAGTTAGTTCTGGAGCCAGAGAAGCCTCAGTTTACATCCCAGTGTGGCCTGAACATGCGTCCTCTGTGCTGGAGCCTCCTGGTCTGTCAAATGGACCTGAGACCTTGCTGTGGGGCCAGGGGCTTAGCAGTCAGACACCTGACACCAGGCTGGGGCTCAGTGTACAGGAGCGATTGCTCTAAAACAGCAGGTTAGTATTAGAGTTGCAGGATGGACCGGGCACTGAGCAGCAGGACAGGGACTGGCTAACTCAGCTTGCGGAGACAGGAGGATTCATGGAGGAGGGGCTATCTGGGCTTTGTCTGGAAGGACTCAAGTCCTTGAGAGGTTTGCTGAGGCAGACGAAAATGTTGCTTGCCCTAAAATCACGTCTGGCAGCAATTTCTACATTTTAGTTGGACTTGTAATAGCTAATGCCTCACATTTTAAAATGGCTCCATGCTTTTCGAAGAAGGAAGTTCACATCCATTATTCTCATCACAGCAGCTCTGGAGTTTGGCAGGGCAGAGATCACTCCCATTTGGTGGTGAATTAGAGCCCAAATTTGGGTCTTCTCGCTCCCAGCCCAGCTCTTTCACTGCCCATGCTATTGGCAGTGTCTTCCTTTCTCTTTAGCTTCGCTTAGCCTGGGATTTACTCTGTGTGGCTCCAGAACCTCTGCTCTGTCCGCTCTAAAGGGCTGCCTCCTGGGAGCAAAGCAAGCCTCAAACAACAGCTGGGGCAGCGTGTCCAGCTGGAGTAGGCGTGCCTCTAAATCCAGGTAGTGGCCTGGGACTGGGCATTTCTGTGGCTCTAGAATTCCTTCTACAATGTCCTCTCCCTAGACAAGTAGTGTGAGCACCAGAGTCTGGCCACCCATTGTGCCCTCAGGGGAACAAGTCCTTGATGGTAGTCCCCATGGGGCACGCACCCAGGAGGGACAGGCTCTCCCACGCATGATCAGTGCCTTGCCTGGAAGGGCCCTGAGCGTCCCTCCATCCCCTGGGACTGCAGCTTAGCTAACACGGTCACTCCCCCGCCCCTTTGTCTTGGTGGTCCCAGTGCAGCAGCTGCTGGAAGATGGTGCAGATCCCTGTGCAGCGGATGACAAGGGCCGCACGGCTCTCCACTTCGCCTCCTGCAATGGCAATGACCAGATCGGTGAGTCCTAGAGGGGGAGGAGTGAGCGGAAATAGCGTCTCTCCGGAGGAGCTGGGGAAGACCCTCTCCTCTCCCCGAGTCGTGGATCTGGCACTGAGACTGGGGAAGGGGTTCACCTGGGGAAAGACTAGGATTGCTCCGAGGTTAGGGCCGGTCCCTCAAGACGTCAGGCCACACCTACTCAGTGCCGAGACCTGCAGCGGGACCGCCCTTTTACTGAGGAGTCTCTTTGGGGTGTGGTGTAACGTATAAACCGAACTTTCTATATGTCTACACTGGTGTAATCGCCACCTGGATTAGGATTTGAGCAGGCACATCACAAAAGATAAATAAATCATCAAAAAACATAAAAAATATATTGAACATCATTAATCACTAGGGAAATAAAAATTGAAAGCGTGGCTTCTGGTCAAGATGACAACGTAGGTAAATGCGGTCTCACATCTGCGCACAACCACATCAGAAATACAGGTAAACTACAGAACAACCATCGTTCAGAACCACCCAGAATCTAGATGAACAGAAGTCCTACAACTAAGGATGTAAAGAAGCCACACATAGACAGAAGTATGGTGATTACAAGAGGGAAAGGGGTTGTGGGGGGGAGGGTAAAGGGGTGATAAATGGTGATGGAAGGTTGCCTTGTGGTGGAGAACACACAATACCATATACAGATGATGTATTAGAGAATTGTACTCATGAAGCCTGTATAATTCTATTAACCAATGTCACCCCAATAAATTCAATAAGAAAGAAAAATCCCCCCCCCCCCCAAAAAAAAAATCTTAGTCCTGTAACACTGCACAGGGCAGGAGGCCCTCCCAGAATGCTCAGTTCCTGGCCCTCAGCGCCCTGCACATGAACTCTGTGAGTGAGAGAATGAATGAAACAACATAAGTATCCACACTTTGAGCCTCCGCAGCTATTAGGGCTGGGGTTAGGGTCCAGTCCACAGGAGCCTCTGACAGCTCCTCTTGGGTTTTCTCATTTTCAGTGCAGCTGCTCCTGGACCATGGGGCCGATCCCAACCAGCGAGATGGGCTGGGGAACACGCCACTGCACCTGGGTAAGTGCCTGAAGAGCTGCCGAGACACCCTCCTCTGTGGCTCAGACAGGCTCCTTTGATGAAGAGCCTGGCGTCCTGCAGGCTCCCGGCGGGATCTCCGCATCTAGGAAGAGCCTTAGCTCCCAGTGTCTGTGCACGGACTGCCCTGTCAGTCACTAGCTGGCTGTGCCCTGGGCTTAGCTGGTTTAGGCAGCTCTGCTTGGGGCGGTGAGACCTGCAGCTGGTTCCTGCCCTGTGGCTGATTCACTCCACGGCTAACGGGCCGGTACCAGCTCCAAGCCTCTGTCCTCATGGCACAGGGAGGGAGCCGGACTTGATTGCCGAGTCCCACCGAGTTGCTGCTTTGGTGATGCCTCCCAGGAGGCATGACCTGGCACAGGCAACTCGGAGACAGTCCTGCTCCCTCCAGCAGGCACACAGGGCCAGGCCCTGGTGGCCCTGCACTCAAGCCCCTGTTCTTCCTCAGCGGCCTGCACCAACCACGTCCCTGTCATCACCACGCTGCTACGAGGAGGTATGTGGCGCCTTCCCCTTCTCCCTCCTCGCACCCTCTCCCCCAGTGTGCTCACCTCTGCCTGCACCCACAGGGGCCCGGGTAGATGCCCTGGACCGAGCTGGCCGCACGCCCCTGCACCTGGCCAAGTCGAAGCTGAGCATCCTGCAGGAAGGCCACTCCCAGTGCCTGGAAGCCGTGCGGCTGGAGGTGAAGCAGGTGAGTGCCCCTCTCATGCTGCGCCATGGCACCCAGCCAGCGGCGGACAGGTGCTGCCCTCACCACAGACACCCCGCCTCCAGTGCCAGGGCTCCGGGTCACTTCACTCTGACCGCGGTTGGTACCGGCTCCACTGGGCCTCTTGGCAGCAGCGTCAGGCCTCTCTGTGCCTCCGAGCTGGGACCCCACAGCCCAGCCCGCCCTCTCCTTTCAGATCATCCAGATGCTGAGGGAGTACCTGGAGCGCCTGGGGCGGCACGAGCAGCGGGAGCGGCTGGACGACCTGTGCACCCGCCTCCAGATGACGAGCACCAGAGAGCAGGTGAGCGTGGCCGCAGGGCTGGGCCCAGGTCTGGCAGGAGCCACAGGCCGTCCACCCTGAGCAGCCAGACCCTCATCGCAGAAGAGGCCGTGGCTGTGGGCTGTCGCCCCTGGGACCTCAGCCTCTGCCCACTTCCTCTGAAGCTGCTGGTGGCCCTTCTCTCTGGGTCTGAGGCCACCTGCTGTCGAGGACTGGCCCTTGGGCAGCTGCCCGCAGTCACAGTGAAGCCACCACATGCCCTGGGAGGAGAGACAGTGCCTGCCCTGGCCTGGGGGCCTGGCACCGAGGCTGGTCTCGGAATTCCGTGACAGAGCCCCCTTTTGTCCCGCAGGTGGATGAGGTGACCGACCTCCTGGCCAGCTTCACCTCCCTCAGCCTGCAGATGCAGAACATGGAGAAGAGGTAGCAAGAGGGGCTCCCTGCCCCCCACCCTGCCCCTGCCCCCCCTGCCCACCTGCTCTCGTCACAAAGAAAAGCCTGGCGCCTGGGACTTGGGAGCTGCACTTGTCTGCAAGCCATCGTCCCCACCCCAGACGCTATGGGCCAGAGATGCTCTCACCGTCACCCATCATCTTCGTCATCTCCGACCAGGACCACAGCCCCAGCTTCTTCCTCTGACCCCCGCGACCCTGCAGCCACAGCTCAGCTCTGGCCGACCCGCGCGGACCTAGCAGGGCTCACCCACCCCGTGGTCTTCCTGGCACCCTCGGCAGGCCCAGACCCGCCCCTGTCTCTTCCTCCCAGTCATGGGCTTGCTGCAGCCAGCAGGGTGTGGCTTCAGGCAGGTGCCCTCGGGCCTACAGAGCTTCTTAAGCTCCACCAGGCCTCTCACCAGCATTAGATTTACACTTGGCACCTGACTCCAAGGACACATTGCGTGAGCTTCTCTGGGTGGAAGGAGAGGGTTGGGAAGCCTAGGCCCTAGAAATACAAGGTTAGGAAGGGCCCTGCTAAACCAGAGCAGAGAAGCCCCACCCTTTTTCTCCTGGTCATGAAGCGCCAGGAGGCCTGGAGCCTAGCTGTAGGGGGCTGAATAGCGGCCCCCAAGGTGCCCGTGTTCTCATCCCAGGAATCTGTGCCTCTTACGGCAAAAAGACTTGGCAGATGTCATACGTTAGGGCCTCGGACAAGGTGGTTACCCTGATGGTCCACGTGGGCCTGCTGTGATCCCAGGGATCGTATGAGAGGAAGCAGGTCAGAGAGCAGGTAGGGGTACGGTGATGGAGCAAGAAGCTGTCCATGCCGGGAAGGGATCACAAGCCAAGGGATGCCGGCGGCCTCCAGAGCTAGAAAAGGCAAGGAAATGGATCCCCTCAGCCCTGCGGACACCTTGACGCGCCCAGTCAGACTGTTTTAGAATTCTGACCACCGAACTGTAAGAATAAATGTGTGTTGTTTTAAGCTACTAAGTCTGTGGTCATTTGTTGCAGGAAACTGATATACTGAGAAAGGCTCAAAACTCCCTGGGAAGGAGGTACCCTCTCGCCCCCTCCCCGCCCCCCGCAGGAGCACATGCCCTTTGTCCTGGACCAAGGGAAGGCACTGCCTGGCCAGCCCTCCGGGAGCCGTCTGATGACAGCGTGAGGGCAGACTTGTTCTGGGTCATCAGTCGTGTCCACTCCAGTTCTGCCCCACTTTCCCTCCCACCAGATTGGGATTCTGGCTACTTTTCAGAGGAGGGGAGCTTGCTCCCCAAATCCCAGCTTGCTCAGATCTGAATTAAACTCCTGGAACCCAGCCGCTCCCAGACCCTGAAGAAAAGGGTCTCTGTAGGTAGGAGACACCAGCCCCGGCTGCCTCCGGCCCCTGTGGGGGAAGCCGAAGCTCCACCAGGTGGGCAGGTTGGGGGGGGTGCGCGGGGGGGCAGAGGAGGCAGTGAGATGCTGCTGCTGTGAGTGAGGGGTGGCCTGCGCTGCGGGTCAGTGAGGGGAGCCCGTCAGTGAGGGGAGCCCTGGAGTGAGGCGGGCGAGGAGAGGTGCAGGATGGGGCAGCTTTTCCCTTCCTTTCTGTCTATGTTATCAGCTCCCTCCCGCTCAGGCGCAAGGGCCTCAGTGAGCTTCCCTTCCTGCAGGGACTCTGCGGGGCCTGTGCCTGGACACGGCCTCCCCTGGCCATGGCCTCAGCAGTGGGGCTGGGCAGGGAGAGTCTCCAGCAGTGGAGCAGGGGCAGGAGGGAGGACTTCAGAGGGGCTGCTTCTCTTGGGACCTGCTTTTCTGGGCCTTGCCCCACCGCACCCCCAGGGCCCGATCACCCTGGAGAGAGCTGAGCGAGATTTCTCAACCTCCGGCCCAAGGGGTTCAATTCATGGGCCCTTCAGGAGGTGCGAACTCCCTGACACGATGCAAGATGTTGTGTGGAGTGCACACGTGTGTTTCTGATAAGAGAGGCCATAACTTTCATTATCAGCATGATCCACACTCAGAAGAGGTTAGGAGCCCTGGCTGGTTTGGCTCAGTGGATAGAGCGTCAGCCTTCAGAATGAAGGGTCCCGGGTTCCATTCCAGTCAAGGGCATGTACCTTGATTGCGGGCACATCCCCAGTGGGAGATGTGCAGGAGGCAGCTGATCGATGTTTCTCTCTTATTGATGTTTCTAACTCTCTATCCCTCTCCCTTCCTCTCTGTAAAAAATCAATAAAATATATTTAAAAAATAAAATAAGAGGTTAGGAACTCTGCTGTTAATCCTCACCCAAGAATTTTTTTAAAGAGAGCAGAAGGGGGGCGGGGGGTGGGGAGGTGCGGAGAGACAGAAAAAGAGAAACATTGACATGCTGGACAACCGAAGTACGTGCCCTTGATCTGAATCAAACCCGCAGTCCTTCTGGCTAGGCAAGGTTAGGGGCTTGGGGAGCAGGTAGGTGAGGGGCCTGCCTGGCCCTTCTGGGCCCGTTATCCCTGAGGGCAGGCTGCTTGGTGCTGGCAGAGCTGGGGGCGGCCATACCAAGACTGAGGTTGCCCTGAGGGGACTGTGTGCGTTTCCAGGGCAGCCTGACGTGGAGAATCCCTGGCTAACTCCCAAGTCCTTGGCTGAACCAAAGCATCCCCACCTGGAAATCGACACCCTCCATCCCAGTGGTGCCCCACCCGTCCACCCCTGGCCCTGTAGCCAAGTAACCATGAGAACAGGCCGCTGGGGCAAGCGAAGGGATCACTGGCAACTCCCTCCCTGGCCATGCAGACAGTGAACAAAGGGTTTGACAGGTGAAGGTGGCTTATAGGCCAGACGGGGAGGCAGCCAGACAATCTGCCTTGCCCCATTTCCAGCCAGGATTTATCCTGCACCCCCAAATCTATAAAAAAGCTAGGCAGTTCGTGTCAGCCCCTGACATTGAAGTGAGTCAGAAAACACAGAGGACCCTGAGCTGGCTGGGCTGGCGGGGGCAGGAGGGAGAACTCCACTGAGGTCGCCCACACAGGAGTTAGTTCTGTTACCAGCTGTTCCAGGAGTTACTGAGTCTGTGGGGGAGGTGGGGGGTGGGGGGGAGCAGCAAGAAGAAATCCATCGTTGTTGATTTCACCTTCTGAGAGGGTCCTTTGCTTTATACCTCACATTTGTTCATATTAGAAACTAGAGGCCCAGTGCACAAAATTCGTGCACTGGTGTGGGGGGGGGGGTGTCCCTCAGCCCAGCCTGCGCCCTCTCACAGTCTGGGAGCCCTCGGTGGATGTCACTCCAACTGGAGGTCAGATGTGTCCTCACCCAGCAGGCACCAGGAGCTCCGGAAAAAGCCCCTCTGGGAGAAAGTCCCTGACCGCCCCAGGGCTGCCTGCTCCCCAGACTGCTTCAGATGCTGAGCCCACGCCAGGGTGAGGAGGCAAGGAGGCTGGACCGATGCCTGGGTCACCCCAACAAAGACCCTGCTCCCCACCAGCTGTGGGGCCCAAAGGGCATTGCAGCCCAAACACCTGATACCGGCTCACCAGCTGACACCCAGGCCTCAGGGCCTGCAGTGGAGGGAGCAGCTCACTCTACAGATGAGGAAACGGCTCAGGGAAGCAAAAGAATCCTGCCCAGACCAGGGACCGGAGTGTTCTCTCATCTCTATGACTGGCCGTTGCCAGCCCGGTGACTCTCCACTCTGGAAGCCGGGAGGATGCCAGGTGCTGCGGACGGACTTGCCAGTCAACACATCCAGGGGGTCAGAGGTGGATGAGCCATGCCTCAGCTGGAGACCAGGATCCGCCTGGGGGAGCCCTTAAACCTCACTTAGGCTGGCAGCGTGCCTCCAATGGGGCCCTGCTCAGGCAGAGAGCTGAGTGCTGCCGGCCACTGAGGCTCAGTGAGGTCAGGACCAGGAGGTGCAGGAGCCAGGATTCCAACCTGACCGTGTGGCTCCAAGTCCGCCTTGACCCCTCCTCTATGCCACCTCTCTGAGTTGACCTGGCAGGTCCACCCAATGCCCAGCACCCCCGCCATCCAGAGCACCCCAGGTACTCCAAGCTGGCACTGTGCCGCTCACCCCTTCCTCCTGCTTCCGTCTCACACCTCCACTGAGCCTGGGCCACTGAAACAACATGGCACCAAGCAGGTCCTTCAATAAATCAGGCTTGTCCTCACCCTAGACACAATCCAGCCTGCACAGCCTGGCCCTCTGGCCTCAGGCCATCTTGGATCCAGCTGGCAGCTTGCAAACGAGTCCTGCCTCAGGGCTGAGAAACTGATGTTCATTAATAGGAAACCTTGGGAACTTAATTGGTATTGACGTCCCCAGGTCCACACCTCAAAGCTGACAGATGATGCTGTGCCTGCCAGCGCCAGGCAGGGAGAGGTGATTAACACGGCTGTGCGGGGGAGGGGCCCTCATCGCACCCACCCTCCCCCGCTGAGTTTTAGCCCCAACTCAGGTTGCTATATGGGGGCGGGGGGGGGCCGGGCTCACCTTCTCTGCACATCCAAGTTCCTCCGTCCTCCTCAATCAACCCCTTCCTGCCTCTTCCCTGAAGACCATGGAGCTGAAATCAGACAGACCTGAACTGAAGACCCCAGCTGTTTCTGGCTGGCTCTGTGATCTTAGGTGAGTTACATAATCCCAGTGTTTTCGTCTTTAAACTCTAAAGCAGATGAGACATGTTCTAGGCCAAGCACAAGGCCCTAAAGGCAGCAGGGTGTCCAGCACGAGTGCCCTGTGGACACCCCTCACCACGCCCCACAGGCCCCTCACTCAACAAGTTCCCACCGAGCTCAACACCTTCCCCCTCAAACCTGACCCTCATCATCCCCACTGTCACTCTCAGTAGCCCAAGGCAGAGGTCTGGGGTGTCCTCTGGGACGCCTCTCTCCTCCGTCCACATGTTCAATCACCGAGTCCCGACAACTGTACCTCCTAAGGGGCTGTCCCGTCTCCCCATGTCTCCCCACCCACTGCCAACGTCTTAGATATCGTCATCTCTGGGTTCTCACTCCAGCCTCCTAACTGCCCTCCCTGCACTTCCTCCCCAGGAAAGCCTGCCTGGCAGCCAGAGTTCCCTAAAGAGTAAATCCGATCTGGTCATTCTCTTTGTAAAAACCTTTCAGGGGCTCGCCCTGGCGGGGTGCCTCAGTTGGTTGAAGCGTCGTCG